GGCTCCAGGCTCTGAGCCATCAGCCCAGAGCCCGACGCGGGGCTCGAACTCACGGACCGCGAGATCGTGACCTGGCTGAAGTCGGACGCTTAACCGACTGCGCCACCCAGGCGCCCCGAGGTGGTGTTTTTTATTAATCAAATACTGTAAAACTTTTATTTCCAGCAAGATATTTCCTCATCTTCCTAGTTGTCATTTTTTTGCCCTAATTACCTACTGCCTAATAAACTTTTTCAGGGTAACATCAGTTATAGGACTTCTGGGCATATAGCTGACTTTGTTTGTTTTTAAGATATGCAACAAAAAACAAAAGTACAAGAAGAAAAGATTAAAGTTTTGCAAAAAGAAAGGGAAGATAAGGAAGAAACCATTGATATCCTTAGAAAAGAATTAAACAGAACAGAACAGATAAGAAAAGAATTGAGCATTAAGGTAAGAATCTGTTGAGTTCTCATTTATAGTAAGTCTGATTTTGTGAAAAAGATGAATTTGGGTAAATTAAAGTTCTACTTAGTAATTGTATTTAGAAGATACTATAATCTCAAAATTGACAATTGTTTTATTATAAAGACTCTCTTCACAATGTGAAAGGTGATTTCCTAAAATCACCAAAACTTTATTAAATATATATTCTGTGCCAGCACTTAACTCCTTTTAAGTAGGCAAAGAATACCTAAAGGGATTCCCAGTTCTGGATGCCAAATACATCCACATGTATAATTGTATATGGCTGCATCTCTGTTCTTTTAGGAGTAGTTCATATTTGTTCAGAACTTTATAATTTGCAAAGGACCCCTTGAAACATTTTTCTGAATCCTCCTAACACATATATTAATATATAAGTATCAATAAGTGTTTTAAACCTACAAATTAAAGTGAGTCTTGAGTTACTTGCTCAAGGTCAGTCACAAAGCTAAGTGGAACAGTAGACATATGCAGTATTCTGAATCTGGTCTAGTCTCATTCCACCTTGTCCTGGTTGTTTATGTGTGGTAGCTGTGAATAGTGCTTTCTGGCCCCTCTGCTACCAGGAAGATGAGGACTAGGATTGAATGGCCATTTGAACAACCACAGAGCGCAAATGACAGAAGAGGCATAAAATTTAATGCCACATTTACCAATTTCCTGGTTCTCTTTTAATGTGGTTATCTTAATAGTGATTCCAAATTGTAATGTGTAATATTTTCTGCAAAATTTCAGCTGCTAATATTGACTTAAAAAGATACATTGAATGTGTTTTTCCAATCTGTATTATTAATAATTCCTTATCTTAAACTTACCATATAATTTAACTAAATGTAGTACATATTTGTAATGTGTCTTTTGACATGGTTGTTTTACAAATGAAAATTAGAACATCTTAAGATACCTGTGAAGGGAAGACATGCTAAGTTGTTTTCCTCAAATCTTCCCCTTTTCCCCAATTCTTTAGGCTTCCTCCCTAGAGGTTCAAAAGGCCCAATTAGAAGGTCGTTTGGAAGAGAAGGAGTCGCTGGTGAAACTTCAGCAAGAGGAGTTGAACAAACACTCTCATATGATCGCAATGATCCACAGTTTAAGTGGTGGGAAAATAAGTCCAGAAACTGTGAATCTCAGCATATAGAAGTTATGTATTTATCTTCCTGGGGAGGTGTGGTAGAGAAGGTAATTTGTGACCCCAGAACAGTAGTAGATTATTGTCTAATTATTAATTTAGTAAAGAACGTGATCTGATAAATATTTTTATTTGGTCTTAAAAGTTTTACTTTCTGTTTCTGGCTTTTATTGCTTAAAGCTATCTTTCATTCTTATATTAGAATATTTTTCTTGACCTCCATTATTGTTTTTGTAAAGTTTTTCCATTTTCCTTCTGATTTTTAATTTATTCTCATTTGTAATTAGATTTTAAATCAAACTTTCTTGATTTAACAATCCTAAAGATTAATAAATTGAAAATACAATTACTAGTATAAAAAGAGAAGGCATGTTATTGCCAGGGAAATTTTTTTCTAAATAGCACAAAAGAAAATTCAGTGAATTTAAAATAATTTTGTTACTGCATTTAAAATACAGTATGATATATGGTATTAGTTCTAAATTTGAAAAAAATATAATGAATAGTTACAAAAATAATGTATGAAAATTAGAAAATATCTGATGTGTTAAATGAATACATTGTCACATAAAAAACACTATAGTTTGTACAATTATGAATAGCCTTAATTTTTAATCTTTTTAAAATGTACTATGTTGGTATACCCATATCATTTCCAATCAATTATGAATTTCTTTTGATTTACATAAGGATAACTTGGATTCCACCCTTGCTACATATTCAGAAATCTGTTATTTGTTGTTGATTCTAATGTCAGTTGCATTTAATATATTGCCTTTCATTGAAATAGTTTTTAATTTGGCCATTTAATTTTAAGGCATAGTTTAAATATCCTTATACATTTATTTCTTTAATACAAAGGGATTTTTTCAGTACTCTTCATTTGAATCAAATGTTCTAAGTGGTGTTTAAAACAGAAGAGTTTTTATATCGGTATTTTGGTTGATTTTTATTGCTACTTTTTATAACCATTAATTTTGCTTAGTGTTTTCTTCCCTATTTATATCTTCCTGTGACTTAAGTGAACTTATATTTACTTCTATTTTTCAACCATAATATACCTGAAATTATCTTTAGAAATTAAATATATTTTCATAATTTGCTAATTACATTAAGTGTCAAACTATAATAGTTTTACATACTTGGATACATTTTGTATAGTTCTGCAGATTTTAAAAACAGCATTGTACAGAGTAACACATTTTAGATTGTTGTTTTATAAGGGGTACTTCTGTTTCTCTCTTGAAATTGCATGCAGTTTCAATTTTACATGAAAAAGTATTTAAATGGATAAATATGACTGAAGAATAAAAGGCTTTGCAAAATAAAAGAGAAAATTCTATAAAATAAATAAACCAGGGGTGCCTGGGTGGCTCAGTCAGTTAAGCATCTGACCTTAGCTCATGTCATGATCTCACAGTTCGTGAGTTCAAGCCCTGTGTCAGGCTCTGTGCTGACAGCTCAGAGCCTGGAGCCTGCCTCTCTGCCCCTCCCCCACTCACGCTCTGTCTCTCTCTGCCTCTCAAAAATAAAAGAAACGTAATAAAAAAATAAATAAAATAAATAAACCAAACCTCTAGGGAAAATCAAACTATCTTTACGCTTTAGACACTTTTAAGACACTGAGCCTAGCCCAGTACTGCCCAATAGAACTTTTTATAATGATGTAAATGTTCTATACACTGTCCAGTATCATAGCCTTTAGGCACATGTGATTGTTTTTAAATTTTTTTTAATGTTTATTTTTGAGAGAGAGAGACAGAGCACAAATGGAGGAGTGGCAGAGACAGAGGGAGAAAGAATCTGAAGCAGGCTCCAGGCTCTGAGCTGTCAGCACAGAGCCCGACACGGGGCTCAAACTCCCAAACCATGAGATCATGACCTGAGCCTAAGTTGGAAGCTTAACTGACTGAGCCACCCAAGTGCCCCTGCCACATGTGATTTTTGAGCACTTAAAATAAGGGTAGTGCAACTGAAGAATTAAAATTTTAACTGCCATACTGCTGGATGGTTCAGATCTAGTCCATTTTTCCAAGTATGCATTTACTTAAGCCACTCAATTTGCCTATTCTTAAAGATCTATATAGACAGAGAGTCCATGTATTTTTTAGTAACCTTTTTTTAACAACAATTTTAATGAGTTATTCCTTATCTTTTTTCTCTAAAGAGAAAAAATTGTACTTCAGCTTTAAAGGTGAATACTAATCATCACCCACTTCATTTCTTCTGTTTATCCTAGTCTTTCTCTCTCTTGTAGCATCTTTCATATTGTTGCTATTATTTTTCTTAACCTTAGTATGTTAAGTACTTTTTCTCTTTTTTTTTTTTCTTTTTAGGTCCATACCTCAGATTAAAATTGTGTGTGTGTGTGTGTGTGTGTGTGTGTGTGTTTTAAAAAATTTTAGTTTAAGCAAGTTTGAGCCACTACCAAAGAGTTTTACAAATGATTTCTGTGTATATATGACCACTTCCTAGTAGAGAAAATAAAACTAAATAAATGCATCATTATCATAGAATTACTCAAATTCTCTTAAAAAATTTGCTATGAAGAGTTTGTCCAAGTGTACATTACACAGTTCTTTTTGCCATTTACATTTGCCACTTGAACAGATATGAGCTTCTCTTAAAATTTGGCTGATTGAAATTTATACTAAACTGCCTAATGTCAGGGCAAAACCAAATACTCATTAAAACTTAATCCTGTGTTTTGAGGGTAGATTGTCAGATTAATGTCCTTTTAGTTGTTTCTACTTGTTATAAAGACTAGTTATTTATGTTAAGGATGTAATGAGACTGTCTTAAGACTGTTGGTTAAATGAAAATGTTTGACTTTCAACTTCTACCCACAGCTCATGCACAGGTGTTAAAAGTACGTCTAATCAAGGTATATTCTCTAAATCTCATAACCTTATTTTAACTTCTTTTCCTCTTTTCAAATAGTTATGAATTGTGTTTACAGCCTTGCTTCTGATTTACCTACTGATGAATCAAACACATACCTTGTTTGTGACTTAATTACTTTATAGGAGTCAGCAAACATTTTCTGTAAAGGACCAGATAGTATTTTAGGCTTTGTGAGACATATGGTCTCTATCACAACTACCCAGTTCTGTGACTGTAGCAAGAAAGCAGCCATAGACAGCAGGTAAATAAATAGGCATTTAGAATAGGCATATAGAACTGTGTTCTAATAAAACTTTACTTACAAAACTGTCAAAACTTTGCTATTGTGTCTCTTTATCTTTGGTAAATTTAGGCTTAAGGTCTGAGGTCTATTTTATTTGATATGAATATAGCCACTCCACCCTTTTAATGTTTTCTGTTGGTCTCGTATATGTTTTTGTATCCATTTACTTTTAACCTGTATCATTATATATAAAACTTATGATTGTAGACAATACATAGTTGAGTCTTGCTTTTTTTTTTTTTAATCTATCTTGACAATTAAGTCCTTAACTTTCACAGTCTGCTTGGAGTTAATATTGTACTACTTAGTATAAAATTGGAGAAAACCTGCAACTGCACTGGTCTTCTTATCCTCTCCTCTTCTTTTATGCTATAGATGACATATATCTGTATCATTAGTGCCCAAAACAATGTTATAATGTTTCCTCTAAATGATTATATGGAAATATATCTGGCTCTCAACATCATAATATATTTACCTGTTTACACACTTTGAAATAATTAGTAATTTGTGGGGAGATACTGCAAGTACCCTATTTCTTATACCTTTCACCTACAAATCTCAGCATCCACTGATAATTCTTGCCTTGAATACGTTATTAGTTACTCTGATGGTTGCCACATTTTTTAACTTGTTTTACTTTCTAATAGAAAAAAATTGGACATTTTGGTAATATTGTGATATACTGGGAAAAGCAATCAAAATTACATCATCTATTACATCATTGATAAAACTAAAATATAGTACTTACAGGTTTACACTTAACAGAGTGTGTACTTTTTGTGTGTGCATCTTCTCACAAGCCAAGAATTTGAGATTTGCTTTCTGTAGTTTAAGAAAATAAATAATAGGTATGTTAGGCATGTGGAATTTTTTTTTTTTTTTAACCACAGGGCCCTTTGGATAGTATTTTCCTTCCCAAACCCCCTAATCTTGTTCACTTGCCTTGGTTCTCTCCCTGATCACCAGTAAATACTCAATGCATATTACCCATAATGATAAGTCTTTTGGATTAAGAAACAAATTGTGTATTTTCTGCATTCACTTTAACATTCAAAATAACTAATTTTTAAAAATGAACACATGAAAATGTGACCTATGCCTTTAAAAGGTAAATGGTTAATTTTTTTATAATGTACATAATGAACCTGATAAGTACTTGAAATTGTATGCTTCGTAATCCGTACATTTAGGGGAAACAAAAATTATGGGTTTCTTTGAATCTGCAAATCACTTTGAAATCTTAAAAAAATCTTGCTCTATTCAGCACTTTGTAGCTAATTGACTTTCTTCCTGTCATGCCTGTCATGAGGCTTGTTTTGTTTATGCTTTTGTTCATCTAACCATTTGAAAATACCCCAAGAAAACTTAATTATCACCAGGAATGAGAGGTACCATACTTCTCAAAAACCAGCTTTTCTTCACGTTAAAATAGCCCATTGTAAAGGTCATTAGATGTGAGGCAAAGTAACTTTCCTCTCAAGTAAACGCACATTTTTAGTTAATTCCCCAAGGATCCAGTGTTTATATGCTCTTGGTATCTTTAAAGACGATGGATAATTCTTAGAATATACAGCAAAGGGCTTTTTACGTAAGGTCTAGCCAGTGCTGCACAGAAAGTGACATTTTCAAAGTCAATAGAGTAGGTTGGGTTACAGTTTCATTATGTTATTAAAAACTAATTTTCCACTAAGTAGCTGAGCATTTGGCAGGGATTTAGTAGTGAACATGATTCTGCCTCTCCATTACATTATCTGCACTATTCCAAGAATTATATTTCATCTCACTAATCTCAAAGAGCCAAAAGATACAATGTATTAGAGTGGCCTTATGCTTTTCTCAAACTTCAAATAAAAAGGCTTATGATTAGCCCTAGGAAAAGACAACACTGTTGACGTTCAATTAGGCAGGATTTCATTTACCCACAAATAAAAACTAGTATTAACTACAACAAACTAATTTGTATAAAACCCACAGTTAATCAGAGCATGTTAGAGCTGAAAGGATTCTTAAAGAACAGTAAACCCAGACCCCTTGTGTTTCAAAAAGATTTAAACTTTATATTACATTTTCAGAAAAGAAGCCTGGAGAGTCAAACACAAACAGATACGTGATTAAAAAATAGACATGTACTGGAGGGGCACCTGGGTGGCTCAGTCGGTTAAACGTCCAGCGTTGTCCCAGGTCATGATCTCACAGTTTGTGAGTTCAAGCCCTATGTCAGGCTCTCTGCTGTCAGCACAGAGCACACTTCAGATCCTCTCTTCCCAACCCACCTCTGCCCCTTTTCCACTCACTCTCAAAAATAATAAATAATTTTTTTAAATAAATAAACATGTATTATGGACAACTGCACTTCTAGGAATTTAAGGATATTCAACAAGATTTAGAATGTGCATTTTGACACTATTGAAAAACAAAATTGGAAGCAACCCATGTATACAGTGTAAAATACATTCAATAAAATAACAGCCTTTTGAAAAAAATAATGTGTAGGCACATGGAAAGAGATCCTGGAAAAAGGATGGAAAAAGCATAAAACCAGACTAAGCAATGATTCATATATCTGCATATCTTTAAGATATATTGGTATGTATAAATATAAATATAAATGATAAACTGGTTGCCTTTCAGTAGTGAAATTATTTGAACTTGTTGTTTATTTACATTCTAAAATTTTTAAATGTTACTTTAAAATTTTCAAAACCATGTTTTAAAACCTGAGTTTTGTAACCACATCAAAATTTAATTTCTGACTTTACCTAAGGAAAATTTCATCTACAAAATGAAGATAATACATACTTTGTAGTGTTGTTTTTATTTATTTAAAAATACAAAATAAAGCTGGTGGCTTTTAGTAGTTTCTTTGTAAGTACTTACCTCCCTTTTGCGAGAGAAATAGGGTAGAAACCTTTATTTCCT